CACGGCCGGGGCAGCACCGCGGAGCTATAGTGAGGTCCTGCCCAGAGCGGCTGCTCCGGACAGAGGGTGACAGTTCCTGTTGCTCCAGCATCAGGCACAGGGGTTTCCATAGCAACAGATGCTTAGGTTAAAAGGAAAGTGGCAGAGTTGGTGTCCCCTCTTCTGCTCTCCGAAATCCTCCCCTTTGACCTCTAAATTTGCCAGAGATATAGAGATCACAAAGCCCAAAGTATAAACTGGGGTTTGCTCATTCCCATTGAGAAACTTTCTGCTTTAGAGCACACAAACTTCATTATAATTTAACTATTTTGGATTTTATGGGCTAAAGTTCTGTTTCTAAACTGTTCTTGTTTGCCGTTTTAGTTGTTAAGATAATACCATCTTTAATATATGTAATTTCATCAGTCTTAAAAAACCCACTTCAGTAGATCATGTATACAATATTCTAGAGCACAAAAACTCCCCCTCCATGATTTCAGTAACTGCCTGATCAAAAATCACTTTGTGTCTGAATAGTTTCATCCACTCCTTTTTATTTGTGCCTTCAAAGTCAGGCATGAAATGTCTTAACATTTAGATGAAAAGGGAACCTTATCTCATCAGGAGAGAAAACAAAAACAAACGCTCTATCTCCTCCCTGATGGAACTTCAAAGAAGAATCATTTTGATCTTCACAACTGAGATGCTGACATTTAATTAAAAAACAAGATGAGCACACAATGCTCTGAAGCAAAGGTCTGGTTTCTAAGTCATATAGACATCCATCATAACAGAGGTAACTTTCCAGGAGCCACTTGGACCCCTTTTAAATTCTGTTTCAGGCACAAATTGATTACCAAAAATCTGGACACATAGTTCAGGTAAATCCCACCTCAAACTGCATTAATGATATTTGGAATAGTCATGGCCATATGATATTTGTAATTGGTGACAAATAGCACTGAAAACAAAAAGGAACAGGAGAATAAAATTAAAAGAAATAATGCATTTTTAACTTCTAAGGAAAAACTAGGACACAGAGGAATAATCAAAGAAAGCCACAAAAAGGCAAGACAAAACCACTAGGCAGGAAAAAAACAACAAAGATTAAATGTCTGAATTAAAAAGTTTCAAAGAAAATACAGAAAAAAGAAAACATTCAGCATCACAGCTAGTTCAAAACCAAAAGATCCTCTAAGGACCAATTCAGATCTAAATACATTGTGGTTTTAATTCTTAAGAACCAAGATCTCACATAATTGGGTTTGCTTAGTCATGCACACATATATTGGACATGTATGTGTGTACACAATTCCTGGAAAAATTACATTAGGGGAGCACAGAATTGCAATGTCAGATACTTGAAAAGCTCAGTAAAAAAAACAAACAGCCAAATGGTTCTCATCCACCAAGAGATCCTGATCATGTAGCTTTGGGCTGTGATTCATTCACCCAAAAATAAATAATTACAGCTATTTAAAGGCACTTCTGATTCGAGCTCTCCCCTCCATGACAAACCAGGGACAGCAGAAACAATTTAATGCTGTGTTCTGGGTATCATGGTGGGTGAAGGATGTTTGCACCAGTTGGGAACTGCAAGACACATTTCTGTCACCCTGTTTCAGCCAGGGTGACCTTGTGTGGAAGGGCTTTGCAGGCAGCTGGAGGCAGAAATATCTTAAATAACCCCCTGCAACAAGATGCACCAGGATCAGTCTGTCAATGCCATTGCTGAAAGCAGGAAGATTTTTCTGAGTCATAGGGACCCAGATGATTGCATTAGGGGCTCTGGAGAGCACTCCAGCCTGCCAGGGCACAAGTCAGTTCAGGATGTCCCTGCAAATGTGTTATGGTAGCCCTGGCTGCCTGCTAGAGAGGGAGCCCAGGGCTCCTGAGGCTCTGCTCAGGGCTGGAAGCGCCTCTCCCCTCTGTCACAGACATCTTTTGTGAAAAATCCTTTCTTTAAGGTTTTTTCTTCCTGAGAAGCTAAAAGGCCTCAGGAACAAAATGTAAAAATTGGTTATCTGCTGCTGTGGAATGCAACAGGTGCATCTGTGATTGGTCTCATGTGGTTGTTTCTAATTAATGGCCAATCACAGTCAGCTGGCTCGGACTCTCTGTCCAAGACAGAAGCTTTTGTTATCATTCCTTGCTATTCTATTCTTAGCTAGCCTTCTGATGAAACCTTTTCTTCTATTCCTTTAGTACAGTTTTAATGTAATATATATCATGAAACAGTAAATCAAGTCTTCTGAAACATGGAGTCAGATCCTCATCTCTTCCCCAGTCCAGGAACCCCGGTGAACACCCTCACTCCCCTCCACCTGCAAGCCCTGGGTAATGTGCTGCTCATCTGTGCATGACTGGGAGCCCAGAGTCCTCTACAATGTCCTGGTTCTGTGACCAGAAAGTGGCACACAAAGTGCACACTGACAGGGCACGGAAAACATGGAGCCAAAGCCAAGAACCACAGGAAACATGGAGACGTGGCACCAAAATGGCACTAAACAAACACCACTTCAGCAACTGGGCTTGCATTGCAGCAAAAAACCTTCCCAGCCAATGGCAAGATTTGAGAAGTGAGCAATTTGTGTTATGAAACATGTGTAAAGAGGCAAAATATTTCAAAAATATGAACATAAGGTTCTTGTCTTTAAACACACATCCTACATGTAAGGAAAATCCTTTCCCTAAACCCTGCAATGAGATCCCAAGATAAAAATCAAGGCATTTCAAAATAAACAGTGTCCTCAAGCATCTTTTTGTCATATATTTAATTCAGTATCCAAAGTTTTGAAGGGAGGTTTGATTCCTAACTAGTGACATTTCCATCAAAATAAAGTGTGTTAGTTAAGACATTTTCCCTGCAGCACCAAAGTATGTTTTACTGACATTTTTGAAGCATTCAGAAAAAAAAATGACACTTATTTCTCCCCATGCTGTACAAATAAACAGTGTCCCCATATTTCAGCACTATTAATGTAACACAATCAAAAGCAGGTCAAAACCAAGCCCTACTGCCTTTAAAACTTTACATTAAATATTTGGTTTCAGACAAATCAGCTCAGAATAACACTGGCAAAGAAACAATCCTGCAATATTACCCCTGGACATTTTTTATTTAGATATAACTTCTATCTGTCAGGGAATTCATGCATTGTTATTCATGTTCCATTCTTCTTTCTGACAAAGCAATTTATGAGCTTGCCATCTAAATAATATAGAGTTTGTTGCAGACAGAGCTAAACATGTTTCTAGTTTTCAAGTGGTGATAGCTATTAAGCAGCTGATTAGTGTATTTTTTAACAAATGATTTTTTTCAGTAGTTCAAGTACACTTTTTATTATTTGAACCATTATAGTTTCATTTTCCAATGAGCTTGTAAAGGAAGTTTAGAATTTCCTGGTTATTTTTGTAATATCACTCCCAAAAAGGCCAAGTTAATATTTTCTCTTTAAATGACTGTATTTATTAATATAAAACACCAAAGGTTTTTATAATAGCAACTGTCTAGGCAATAGAGAGACTAAGATACAATAATTTAACTCCTACTATAATGGTCAGCCAAGATAAAACCATCCAGCTCATGAATCTCTAACGGCCCCAGGCTTTTGCCTCCCATACACCTGCTGCCTGGTTGGTGTCAACTGGAAACCCAACCAGAGCAGAACAGGAATTCCCTTTCCTGTGTCAGTCCCTGAGGATACATTTGATCATTTTTGATTCATTTTGATCTAATGGGTGTGCTGGGGGGAGCACTGCACTGTGGCAAGATGTGACAGTAGGGCTGCAGAGGGGCAGTGTAAATTGTGGAATTAGTATGCTGAGCGTTCACTTTCTTTGCTCATTATTTGTGCCAACAGCATCTCAGAGCAAGTGATGTAGAAATGCAGCATTGGACAGTGAGTGAGGACATAGAGATGAATATTTCTCTCTGGAATCACACACTACTCAGAAAAATAATCTTGCAGATCTTATAATTATTAAAAAAAAAAAAACAAATTGAATTCCCTAAATGAACAAGGAAGCTCTCCAAGCTGGACTAAGAGAAACATTGGTAAAATTTGTTTCTGAGCACCACAAGAATAATTCAGTCTTCCACAAGTGGTGGAACGAAGGCTTTTGTAGGGAATAGAAAACACTGATATTCAACTACTGGGAATAATAGACAATGGTGGCTTCACAGGATACAAGATTTTGGGGAAAAAAGAAAGAAGGCTGGAAGAAAAGGCTCTCCAGGAGAAGAGATGGGCCCAGAGGGAGCCAAGAAGAAAAAAGTCGGAAGCATATAGAAGAGGCATGGACACAGTGGAGTACCAGGAGGGCTGAGAGAAAAAGGAGATGAAGATCAGTGACGTCAAAGAGGCAGAGAAGAAATGGACCAAAACTGTCAGAGATGGAAAGCACCAATGTGCCTGGGGAGCAGGGAGACAGGCTGGCTGGTACAGGGTTAATTGGAGCCACACAATGGAGTATTTTCAAAACCAGGGGGATCAGCTCCTGCAGAGGGCAATTCCAGCACCTGGTGGATGAATGTTCTCTCAGGGGTCAGCAAGACAGGTGATTTTAACCAGTGAGAGTCCTGATACCCATCAAGGCCTAATTAAATGAAATCAAGAGAAGGTAGCTCAAATCAGCAGGTTCTTCCCTGTAGTGTGAGCAGGACTGTGTCCAAAGGAAATAGGTGAAAGTCCTAATGCTGAGGGCACTTATAAATAGCCTGTATGAGGCATTAGAAAATGTGCTGTAAGGCATAATCCTGCCAACTGGCAATAGTATAGATCACATGACCAAGAAGGTCTTTCCCATATGTTTTTTTATGATTTTGCAGTTGGTGCAGAGGTGATGAAAGGCAGGAAAAAAAAAAAAAAAAGAAACCATCACAGACGAGAGGAGTTGGGAACAATGGTTCTGCAAGTGCTAAAAAAAGGTGCTAGAAAAGGTTATGCAAAGCTTAAGTACAAGAAACTACTGATGTACATGTGTTTGTACAGCTGCACACCACATCAGGGTCCTGGCTTAGCCCCATAGCTGGTACTGACATCCATACCAATAAAATTTGTACTGCAGACTGTCTTTCTTGTCTTAATTAACATTCTGTCTTTGGGAGCTTTATCTGAGAGAAGTTAGGATGAAATCCCAATTCTGTGTCTTCAAGAGAAGCCAGGAATTGGAGCATTACAGATAAATACATCTTTCCTTGGATGCCACGAGCTGCTGGCATCCATGTGAGACTTGGCCAACATTCCTGATCTGATCTCCACCGTGCACATTCCTCTCTGCTGTGTAACCTGCCAGGGTTTGGTACTCAAGTCAGATATGCCACGACAGCAACCAGGTTGCCTGATTAATCTGACCTCTCAAGGGGGTTTTCAGAAAGAAAAGGGAACATATTTGTCTTCAGAAAGGCAAAGCAGGCTGTTGGAGGTCTTTCAGAAATGCAACCATCTTGCAAAAGCATCCCTCTGTCACCTTGACTCAAGGCAAGAGATACACTCAGCCCTAGATGTGAAAGGTTCCTGCTCCATTTGTGTGCATGAGCCACATCTGCACATCCTTAATTGCCCAAGTTGGGAGAAGCTGATGCAATTCCTGCCTAATTCACCACTGTAAAATTGGCAGCACGCAGAAGCAAAATATCTTGGAGAAATTCTGAATTTCCACTTCCCAAAAAGCACTTGTGCATGAAGAATCTTGGAGAAGCAGAAGGAATTTAATGAGTTAGCATTTCAAATGCATGCCACAGGATTCAAAGGGAGCAGACAGACAAATAATTTAACTTGAAGACATTTTTTTTTCTAATACAAAGATTTTCTTTAAACGGATCTGACTCCTTAGACAAGCTGTCACTAAATTCACAGGGGTTTTTTTTTGTTGCTTGGAAGAGAACTAAAACCTAGATTTACTAAAAGACTCAAGGGATGTAATGACACAATTTTAGGTTTGGAACCCCCCAGATGAAAGGAAACCCTAGAGAGAAATGTATATGCAAGGAAAAAAAAGTAGATTTAGAGAAGTGGACATCTCAAAAAGGCTACCTTAGGCTAACCAAATATCCTCCCACTCCTTTGTTCTCCTTATGGCCCTGACAGACATATGTTTCTTCCTCCAGTTTGGCACAGATTCAGCATATTCAAATGTTCTTCTCTTGCAGCATTCACAGAGAAAGGAGCAATGATGGAGGTTTGTAAAACCTCTCCCTGTGAGGAGCATGTTGGATATTCTCTAGGAATAAATACCAGATCAATCTTGGAGGCTGTAGGTACAATTCATCCCAGTTTCTGCCTCCCAGCAGGATTACAGACAGGTGAGGAGCTGTTGTGGGATGTCCTCATAGGCAGTTCTGAATGTGCAGAATTGCCACTGGGGCTACTTGAGGAAGTTTTCAGGCTGAACAGAAAAGCATCTGATGAGTTCCAGTCATTTGGAGCTAAGTAGGCTGTGAGCAGGGGTTTTATAGATCACAGCTCTAGATTAACTGTCTGAAGTCCCCTGAAATCACCTCAAAGTAAATAATGTCATTTTGGATTTGAGACTAATTTAAATTGGTTGATATCTGTGCTTCCTCACTCCCAGTGCTGGTGCATGCTCTTTCCTGCCTGCCTATCTGGCTTCATAAATTGATTAAGGAAAAAATCTTACAGGCTTGCTCATTGTTTTTAAAGTACAAATTACACAGTTTGTCCTATTCACCTGTCTCAGTAACAAAATCAAAAATGGCTGAGGAAGTTAGTTTACGGAACTTTATGGAAGTTATTTTAAAGGTTTGTAAATGTTTCGGTCAAGTACCATTACGTAACAACAAATATACAGAATTATATGTGGCTGTCAAACAGTGCTTTCATTTTTTAAAATGTGGGAGACACAAGGACAAGAATTGAATACTGATTGGAGACTAATAAATTACATCTTTACCAGTTTAAAAAAAGTTTATGACCGAAGATGTTTAGGGTCAATAAACAAGCCAACCAATGTGTGGTTTTCATTTTAAATGTCTCTTAGGATGTACCTGGATTAAACTCACCAATATATGTGCTTCTTTTTAATTTTACTGCACTCTTTCAACATATGCCAGAGGCACTAAACTTTGCAAGGGTATTCAGCAATGTGAGGTACTGGAATACACACTGGAATTATCAAAATCAGATCAGTGACTGTATAATCAATATGAGTTGCTGCTTTGGAAAATTCCAGTGGATATTCACATGAACCTTGATGCATTCACTGCATGTACCTAAATTTAGGGGCATTTTATTTCTAGTTTCTAGTTAAACTGACAGAGATCTTATTTGATTGTTCAGTAATATCTTTAAAAAACAAATAAACCCAATGCTTTGTGAAACAAGCCAGGCACACACCTAGTCACTCCTGACTTAGATATATAGATAGATCCATATTATTTTCATAAACCAAGGAATCATAAAAGCACGTCAAGTGAACTGAAGAAAGTATGAAAACTAACTTTAGAGATGTTCAATAATTTCACCACACAGATAAAAGCAATTCAGGACTCCACTAAGTGGGAAAAAAAACTGCTTCATCATTATCTGAATAAGAGTCTGACAAAGGCAATCCTGGAAAATTCTGAATGCAACTGATCATTTCAAACCTCTGAAAAAGGTTTCTTCTTCCAGAGAAAAATAATCTAATTCCCTCCAACACAACTTCAGCAGCACAACCAGAGCTGCATTTTGTAAAAGCACCTGAATGCAATTGTTGAAAAAAATGAGGCCACCATGACTTAAAGAAGTACCTTCTAATGAAATATCACTTGATACACTGGTTGATGCCAGCCCTCCAGGAATCTTATCAGCAATGGCCAGATGGAACCAGCATTGCCATTTATCTTGAATTTATGTTTCTTAAATCACTGAATTGTTTCTCAACGCTACATCTTCAATGATTTTAAATAAACAACCGCAATGTAGCCACCTTTGGCTTCATGAGGCCAAGAGAATGTTACCATTTTTCTGTGGGAATTATCTATTCTAGCCATTATTCACCAATTTAAATATATCTTTGCCCATCCAGTAACTTGGCAAAACAGAACGCACTGCTGATTCTGGGGGTGAGCATTTTAATGAAAATTTCATTTTCTGAGAAAAGAGCACCCCCATTCAAAGGTGTCTGTCCTTCTGTCGGTGCTGCTTGGTATTTTTGGAAGTGGATGATGCTTCAAAAGCGATGAGCATGGCCCAGTTGTGTCACCCAGAAACATACGGGTCCTTGAAGATGGAGCACACATGGCACCGACACTTGCGGCGCATTACGACAAATGCAGGCAACAACTTGTCAGAGGTGGAAACATTTGCTGGATAACAGAGATGACATAAGCAGAAAGTAGGACAGCCACCGCAAAATGGGGCAAAACTGTGTTTTGGCTAGAATAGGACATGCAGGAATTTAAATGACCTGGGATTTTCCTACAAAAAGCATCTGTCGTGTCTTGACATGCACAGTGCTTTCTTTGTGTTAAAGAATTTGAAAGAAAGTTTTGGAAACCAGCTTGTATCAGGGCTCAAGTCCTATAAGGAGTATTTGAGGGAGCTGAGGGTGTTCATCCTGGAAGAAAGGAGGCTCAGGGGAGATCTTATTGCTTTCTACAGCTCCCTTGTAGCCAGGTGGAGATTGGTCTCTTTTCCAAGAAACAGTCTCGAGTTGAACAGGGAAGATTTAGACTGGATTTTACAGAAGATTTCCCCATGAAAAGGGATGTCTAGCACTGGGCCAGGCTGTCCAAGGCAGTGGTGGAGTCACTGCCTGAAGGTATTTAATAGATGTGTAGATGTGGCACTTGGGACATGGTCTAAAGGTGGGTCAGCAGTTGGAATCAATGATCCTTTCCAAATTAAACAATTCTATGATTACATGATCCTATGGAAAAGGAAAGAAAACACCTGAAAGGAGTCAAATCTTTGGAATTTACGAGTCTCTTAAGCCTGATATAGTGTGGCTTTCAGAACACTCATGGAGGCCTATTTCTAAATGAGTACAGTGACAATTATTTCATCTTTGGCCTGCTTTTGCCAGGGAGCTGCAGAGGAGCACTGCTTTATCTGGGGTGTTCCTGAGCTCCTGATCCAGGCATGAGGGGCTCCCTGTAGACTGTAGTCACATTTCTCTTCACAGAGAAAAGCAAGGCACAATTTCCCAAGAATATTTCTGTGTTTCACATTCTTTAAACCTCAGAGAAAGGAAAAACAGAAATATTCTTGGGAAGTGGTTCCTTGCTTTTCTCTGCGAAGAGAAATGTGGCTACATGGGACCATCACTGACCTTGACTGGGATTCTCATGGTGAGCTTAACTCCCCTCTCCACCACAGGCCACCTCTAGCCAGGCCACCTAGTTTAAGAGGCAGCAGAAGCTGCCTGCCCTGGCACCTTGCAAGCCCCACACGTGACCCAAAATGTCACAAAATGGGTTTGTGGGTCAGCTGCAGTGTGAGCTGCCTGCATATCCCAGCTTATTGCTGCAGCCATGGTGGGAGAGGCCCGACTGCACCTTTCTGCTTATTTTAGGAGCAGCCTAAGGCAAGTTTACAAAGTAATCTCTCTCTCTTTTGCTACCAGTAGTGCTTTTCTATAGGAAAAAAAAATACAATAAAAAAGATCACACTGTGATTTCTAAGCTGACAGCAGGCCTTTAAGATCAGAGCACAGACTTTAAATTAAATATATTCCATCACACAAAGTTTTTGTCTATTATATAGCTCGTATTAGAAAATAGTTGTCATTTCTTTATCAGATCCCTTTGGAAACTCACTGCTGTTGGACCCTGCCCTCTACTGACATGCTTCTCTTCTGAACACAATGCAGTCTCTTATATAGATGGCAACCTAGATGGCACATTTAAAATGAGTCTTTTTTTTTCAAAAGCGAGGTAAAAAACAAAAAGGAGGACAAAGTTTATAATTCTAGTGATGTCTATTTTCTATGTCAAGTAACTGAGAGAGGGCAAAAAAAGAAAAAAATTTAAATTAAATATTAATAATAATCTGAAGAAAATTCATTTGGATCAATACAATTTTATAAATAAGAGTCTGGACTGCCTTCTACCCTTCAGAAATAAAACTGAATTTTTTATCATGTTTTTCAGGCCTGTTCTCTGAGTTTGATCCAGAAAAGACACCAGACATGGAAGAAAGGGGTGATAAACCAGCAGCTGTGCCATTCTGCTAACCCACAGCATTAGCACACAGGGCACAAAGCAGCTCTGGGGGTGAGGGAGCACTGCCACTCCCCCACCCTGTGCACTGTGTCCAGTACAAATTAAGTGACAAGAGAGTATCTGTGATATCTGGTTTCACTTAAAGCCCTTAAAGCAGAGACAACACCCATTAAGGCTTACAGTAAATTTCTGAGATGAAATTTCTTGTCAGTGTTTTAGGGCTGAGGCCAGTGGAGCTGAGGGATTTGCTCATGTAGGTCCGTCCTGGGGGCAGGAGGGTGCACAGGCTTTTTGTCCTTTGGCCTTTTGTTTTACAGGGCAATGACTCTGGGAAGGCTCAGCAGAATTAGAAGGAAATGAAACATCAGGAGAGGTGCCACTTGCTAATTTTGGAAGCAACAAGGCCCCAAACCAGGGCTGTTCATCTGATCTGGTGCCCAGCTGCTTGTTTAAAATAGGCAGCTAATGGAATAAGAACTAAACCACATGGATAGCAAAAATTCCTTAAGAAATAACATTCCTTCTTCTTAAGTCATTGCTATACATGTCACTGGAGTTTGTGTGTGTGTGCTCAAGAAATTGTGTTTCTTATACCACAATTGTTCCATGTTTGCACCACAGTCTGAGGAGAACCCCAAGTGCTGTTTCTTATTCTATAGGTTCTCAGGTTATTTATTCTAGCCAAAAGCCACAGTTACTGCAGGCACAGAGAACACTTTATATCCTCCATAAAATCATTTGACAATCCAAGGAAAACTTCCCTGAGACTGTTGTGAAGATCCCAGTGCAATTAACTGTATTTAGTGGGTACTTCATCTCAGTAAGGACTGCAGGGACTGACAATACCTGAGCATTGAAATTATCCATAAGCCTAGAAACAAACATTTGAGGAAGAAAACCAACTGTAAACACAGATCAGCATCACCACTTGAGGGTGCTGCAGTAGTTCTTAAATATCAGCTCAAAGATGTGCTGCCGAGCAGGCACTGTACACAGAGCTATGCCACAATAATTCACCTAATTACCTCCTTGGAGGCACTCAGAGAATTTGGAGATAAATTAGCACAAAATACTGCTGAACAGGAGAGCCTCTTCTGAAATAGGGGTTTAAAATCCTAAAAACCTTCCTAACTAACTGCAGTGATAAACCAGGATTCTCCTTCAAAAGAGCTGGGAAAAGGAAAAATTAAGTCAAACATAAGAGGACCCTCAATTACACAAGCACATGCATTTCCAACTTCAAGAAATTCATTACAAGTATAAATTCTCAGCTCTGCACACACATTTCCTTTGACTGTAATACAAGTGAGTATTTTTCAAGGCATATCAAATTGATTTTGCTATAAACTATTGCAGGATTATAGCCTCTTTGAATAGTCTTCACTACAGGAAACACACAGAACTGGTCTTTGTGGGAAATATATTGAATAGCCAGTAAAACACAAAGCAATATCAAAATACAGTAGAAAATGTTCCAAAAAAGCCACAGCAACCTAAATGAAGAGCCTGTGTCAAACATAATCTAGGATTTTCCTATTATGTAGAAACTCCTTTCTATAATAATAATAAAAAATGTTATTTGCTTGTGAGGATATAAAAACATGAAAAAATGATAAATGATGATAATGATGTATCTTTTGAAATGGATGAAATAATTTTGTATGTCAAAGCATAGTGACTGAAATGAGATCTCATTTGTAAAGTTTCTCCAATTCCAGTTTTTTAATCTGACTCTTATCAGGTACTCAAGAGAGCTGGTCAGGAACTGTTCCATGATACTTTTGGGAAATGCTGACCCATCCAAGTTAAAACTGTTGGTGGTAAAACAGCTAGTTTAAAAGAAAATTCCCTGTTCAAAGACATTGGTGGAGAGGGATATGTTGCTTAAGGTAAGAAGACATAAATCAGCCACTTTCAGCCTGAATATAACAGCAATTTATATCCCAAATTAAAGTGATTTTGAAATTTGGATGAAGAATTGGAAAAAAAAAAAAGAAATGAAATAATTTAAGTTGAGCCAAACTAATTTAACTCCTTGGCTTGGCACAGAGCAGACAATTGCAAGACTTATTACCCATCAGAGCTCAGGGCAGCAAAGTTTTTGAACCCTTGAAACCCTAGTTTCTCCCAGCTGTGACCTCCTTGCCCACGAGATGTTCTGAAATTTTCTTTCTGAAACTATTTGAAATTATGTTGATTACCTGGACCTTGAAGTCAAAGTGCTGCAAAAATCAGCTGGAAGAGTAAGAGTGCCCTGGTGCAGGGCTGAGCACAACCTGCAAACAGGTAAGAACCAGGAACCCAGGACATTCCTCTGGCTGGCATGGATGGCTTGAGACCCTGGCAAGGGGCTCAGAGACCTTGCAAGGAGCCAGAGACACCTGTGCCTTTGATTTTAGCCCATGGAAACAATTACCAGCTTTGTGTGAGGAGTTACAAGCCACAAGGGTTTGAGTAGAATGATAGTGAATTTATCATCAGGTGAAAAAGTAGAATTTTGGGTATTTAGAATGGGGTTTCAAGAGGCAAGATGGAGGAATCTGGGCGTGTCCTGTCCTCCTTCTTCTTGCCTTCCATCTTCTGCCTGGATGGTGACACTTTTGGATTGGTTTAGAGTAGAGACAGACTGTCTAACATAGGTGATATGCATTGGAAAATTATTGTAAATAAATTACACATAGGTTTTAGTATAAAAAGATAACACCACTCCAAGGGAAGGCAGTGTGCCTCAACCCAACCTGCTGGACAAACCTCAGTGGGTCAGAGAAAGAATGTATTAGATAAGAGAAAATGAACAACCTTTAACAGCAGAGCTGAGGAATCCTGACTTCTTCCCCAAGAGCACAGGGCTGGCAAAAAAGACTTTTAATACCTTGGGAGCCATTCCAACAACTCAGAGCCTAGGAAAGCACCAGGAATAGATCTTCACAGTGACTGGGAAAGAGTCTCCCCTCTTTCCACATCCCTTCCCTCAGGGCACTGCTCAACAGCAGCTGCTGCTGAGGTGGATGCCACCCCTGATCCACAGCTTGCATTGCCCAGGGCTCTGCTCTCAGAAATCAGGAACTGCTCCAATTTTTGAAGAAGATTGATTTCAACATGATGAACACTTTTCTGCAGTGTGTGTGTGCTGCCCAGTGAATGCTTGAGCCTTTCCTCCCCAGCTAAAGATGACAGAGGGAAAGCAATGAGATGAGGGTGACTGTGTGAAGAGCCAGAAATTCATTCTGCAAACTGTGCTTCTTCTCTGGCCTTAGCACTCTAATAGCCTAGAGCCATTTGGCCCCTAGATTGCAGTACTCAGCAACAGAAAAATAGAGAATAATCTACTATGGGCACTTTACAGAGACAGGAGTAATCTTTGAGGCTACGTAGCAAGACATTGTTTTATTAAAACATCTGAAGTTAGAGCCAATATGCCAATATTCACTCTCTTTATAAAAAGTGTGTCAGAAATAGGCAGACAACCTTGACACTATGTGGGTTTTTCTACAGCCTATTCATTTCTACATTGCATTGTTCAACCAGTTATTTTTAAATTTTCATTACTTTGCACAAAGTGCCCTGATTATTCCATTGAGAATGCCATCCTTTTAAATACCTTTATAAATGCCTTTACACATGATTAACATTAGCCCAAGTCATATCTGCTTCCCTATGTCAAGGTCACAAATACCAGAGAAATATTCCCAATGAGGAAAATAAAAGATATGTACAATTTTAAGAGTTAAAGGACTGCTGTGAGGACTTTTTTGAAAGACAAAAATAGGAAAGGAAGGTAGAAAACCATCTTGGCCTCATTTAAAATGTAATTCCATCTCACACAGGTGAGAGCTCCAGCTTGGCCTTCTCCTGCAGGAAGTGTCAGCAAACAGGCCAGAGTGATTTGGCTGTTGGATGCACAGACACGAACTTGTGATTATTGAAATGCATTTTTACTGCATAGGAAATTGTGCCTCCAGCAACTTTTACCAAAGCATTTATCTCCTATCAACTTCAGCCAGACCAGGATTAAATTTTGGGCAAGCCTTTCTGATTGTTTCACTTCCCCAGGAATAAAATGTGTGCAGAACAACCTCCACCTACCCCAGAGGGGGCTGTGAAGATTAATGGCAGGAAAGCACCTGGATCCCAAGGACAGACATTTGTCCCAGTTATGTCTGTCTATGAAAAATGATCAGAACTTCCTTGTTTCTCAAAAAATGGTCATGGTTACTTTAAAAGACATTCAAGTTGTGAGTTATGAACCCAAACACCAGAATAGTTGAAACCATTAACAAGTAACATGTAACACTGGAAATGTATTTCACTGGGAAAAGGTCAGCATTAGAGATAGGAGACAGCCTTTCACATTAGAATAACTCATATCACCTTCCCTTCATCAGTCATGTATTTCCATAACTGCTTTCTTTCAGTCATCTCATTTAACAAAAAGGATTTATGTTTTGTGGCAAACAGGACTGTGGAAAAGGCATATTTATTGAGTCTGCCACTGCAAAATCTCTTCTAAGTGTTAGGAGCCCTCAGCTTTTTCAATAAATAATTTTATTATTTATTGCACAATAAACACTCCTACTTTATATTTTGTTCAGTTTAATTACATCAGTAACATGCTGGGTAACATTTCTAATTTTCCTCCTGTAAATAACTGGTGTCAGAGCAGACTCCTGTGAGCACTCATCACAGATGAGGAGCACTGACACTCACATCAGACCACTTTGGTTTCCTACACACAAATGTTTCTAAAACATTGAAATCTTTGGGCTGAAATATTTCATTCAAAGGAGCATGTGGCTGCTTTATGTCAACACACACAGGAGAGATAGCCAGCTATGCAAACACTGGATTATGGCACAAACTTCTCCACGGAAGCATTTCAAAACTTCTGTCCTCCTACAAGATCTTGAGCACTGCATTTCGTACATAGCAGGGTTAGGATCTACCATTCTTTTACTCATTTGTGGGCAGCATGCAGAGAAAGGGGACAACAAAGTGATTTCATTATTCCTGCTCCACATTCTTCCTTCATGGATTCCCTGATGAGCAGGAATACTGCTATTGTTGAGATAATTAGCACAGGCAGTTAATAAGAGATTGTTAATGTTTCACTGAAACACAAATAACAAAGGATAAATAATTCCTCCCTTAAGATCCAAACCAGAAAGAGTAATTAACAGCTGGAGGGGAGGGAAAGCAAGAAGCTAGAACACACTCCAGAATTCCCATCTGCCACCCAATTTTTGCAGGAAAATGTGAATTTTTGTGCATTATATAATTTATTCAAACATCTATCCCACATCAGCAAATCACCTGTACAACTCCCCACTGAGTTCAGTATTAGCAGAACTGCACCTGAAGTTGAAAATATTTGTCCTTGAAAATGGCAAATCCTAGTAAAGTGATAATTTGGTCAACTTCTGTAAGAAATGTTGTTCAGTCTGTGTGGTCATCAATTGTTGCAGTATTGTGAGGGTCCCCAGAATGAGGTGAGAGATAAGAATTTACTCCAAATTCTAAGAAGGATTATTATTAAATTATATTATTTATTTTAATTTATTTTAAAATTTTTTATAATTTTAATTTATTTAATCCTAATTTTTAAAATTTTCTTTATTTTACTTTTATTATTTTTATTTTTAAGTTTTTTATTTTTTAATTTTTTATTCATTTTTAAATTTTTTTTATCTATTCTTATTTATTTTTTTAGATTATTTTTATTTTATTAATGTTTTAAATTTTTACAAATTTTTAAAATTTTTTGTTTAGTTTCATTTATTTTTTATATTTCAATTTTTAAATTTTATTATATGAAAATGCGATACTAAACCTATACTAAAGAAAGAGAAAGGAGACATCAGAAGGCTGGACAAGAATGAAAAATAAAAACCCATGACTGACCAGAATCCTGACACAGCTGGACTGGGATTGGTCATTAAGTTAAGACAATTCACATGCTATGTAAACAATTCTCCAAATCACATTCCAAAGCAGCAAAACATGGAGAAGCTGAGGCTTCTCATCTTCCCAGGAGAAGAAATCCTGGTGAAGGAATTTTTCATAAAATATCACAGTGACAAATCTGCATGGAAATCTTCGCAAGATTATAGTACGGCCACCTCATAACCCAGTATCTTCCCCTTTAGCCTATGAAGAGTTATAATCCTTCTTTCACTCCTTGCTTTCTCCAGCTCTATCATTCATTTTCCTGTTAAGAAAAAAATCTTCACCACTTCTCAGTATTTCATAAGTTCTTTTGCTCCTTGGGGAAAGTGACAAACATACAAAGCAGAATTAAGATTTAACAACCCTGTGTTTTAATTCAGGAACCCTAGAAAAAACAGCTGTAACTAACTCATCCTGCATTTCATGCTACCTCAGGTAGTCCTCTACCATATTTTCCTCTAGAAGACTTTTTTCTTCAGAGGGATTTTCCCCATAATCCTCTTCCTAGGCCACAGGCAGCTCTCCCCAAGCTTATCACCACACCACATTTTTGCTTCCTAAGCCTCATCACCGTTTGTACTCCTTTTTGGCACAAACATACCCTTCTCCTAAGCACAGCCCTGGCCAGACACTCTGCCAGACTGTCAGTTCCTAAGTCTGTGTCACTCTTGTTCCCTCTGAGCTGAAATGCAGAGAGACAAACCACCCACTGTACTGGGACAAGCCACCACTAAACAGTTCTGCCCTTGAAAGGAGAAGGTCCTCCCTAGAATATCCATTTCAAAAGAACAATTTCAAGGTTGAGCTTCTCAGGTATTTGGAGTATGCAGTTGCCTGATTCCCATTATGTACTGATAGTGCTATATGTGAAAAAAAATACTGCCCATCACAATCTGCTATTTCTACATCCCTTCCAGAGCTCTACCAAGCCTCAGGGCATAGCTGAGGAAGGCAATTCTCATTTGCTGTGTATCAGTAAAAGTCCACTTCTTTCTCCTGGGGCTCTTGGCTGCCTCTTTAGGCAGCAGGTGAGCAAGTTCTGCAGCTGACAGCAGGCAACACCCTCTGTCACTTCCCTTGTACAAGGAGAAGCACAGAACAAGAACCAGAGCTGTTCTTGCTCCCAGGCTGTGTGCACACAGAGGGCTCCACAGTGTAGAGCAGCAACCTTGGGAAGGCAGGAGTACAGAAGCAGTGTTGCCATGCCCAGAAACTTCCCTCTTTCTGGGATTACTGGTGGGCTGAGGAAGTGACTAGAGAATCACATCCATTTCTTAAAACCATCAGACTAAATCACAGAGATGTTTTCTGTGTGCAGCACTGAGGAGAGGCAGTTCTCAAGGAAAAGAAGGATTGGTAAAAAACAGGGTGGAAATGCTTCACATGCTATGACAATGTTTGTTTATCCAGATTTAAAAGAATTCACAAATCTGCCTCTTCATGGGTCTCAGTGCCCTAACATTGTTAACTACTCAATAGAGCGTCAACAGCTTTAAAGTCATCAGGTTCACAGAAACCCAGGCAGCAAACCACTTTGAGCTATCACTTGCTACAGTGCAGGTAGAGGAAATCCACTCTGCTTTTTACAGTGTACTCTAATTCTTTAAATTTGGATTATTTCAGTCCTTTGAACAGAAACTCATTCCATAGTCCTGGAGAACATTCTTCTAACTGCCTTAGCTCTTAATGGACACACAGGTCAGGGGTTGTCATCTTATTGCAAAAGTTTTATACCTTCTTTGTGATTTCTCATGGGCAAGCTCCTTGCAGCACTGACTCCTTCTTCCTCGCAGCACAGCCAACAAACTCCAACTCCCCTCACCCAGATAACATACTCTTTTGTAGCTCTCATCCTCTTTGGACACAGCTGTGGCCTGTTAAGGGCAGGCGTGTTCCTAATCTTTGATAATTAGTACAGCTGCAGCTCCTCAAGGGTGAGATTACCTTCTGCACTATCTTTATCTTCGTACATTCTATCCCCCCACAGTCAGGCACCCTTTTGATCGCAGCTTGAGGATGCAAGTTTGATCCTTGGGCTGGACAAACTCCCAGCACAACAGATCATAGAGGGCACCTTGTGCACCATCCATGACCCCAAAATGACCAGTGGAGATCCTGGGCTGGCCATGCCACACTATATGTTTTCCTCAGAAGGAGGAGCCTTGCATCTGCAAATGTGCATCTCCATAGCTGATCTGTGACAGTAACCTGTTAATAGATGACCAGGCATGGACAAGGCAGCTGAAAAGGAAGGTCAACAGGCATTGTCCAAAGGAGATCAGATGCAATTCTTTCTTTTTAAAGCACAGAAAATATCTGCCTCCTCATCCTAGCCTCAAAGCCTCCACATTGCTGTAGATGAAGTTCAGGCAGTTTGCTTTAATCCACACTGAGATGCAACTGGAGAGAGAAGCTGACTTCCAGCACTCCAGATTCACTCTGAAAATGCTCCCAAGTACCTCCGTGCTTGTATAGACACATAGTGGGGCACACAAACATACAGACACAAAGCACTGGCAGACACAGTCAGTCTGGACTGACTCCAGCCTCAGTCCAGACTGGAGACATGCAGGGCTCCCAAACTCTCAGCAGTCTAAAGCTGGAACTCGGGCCCAATCCAAAGCCCACTAAAAGTCTTTTCACAGGCTCCAGGTGTTAGGCATCTATGCACTGAAAGAACAACTCAATTCTCCCAAGAACAGCAAATTAAACTCAGATAGATACTGGCTACAGGAATAGAACATTGAAGAGATATTATGCTCATCCCTGGGAACATTTATATCTAGAGAATCAGGCTTCTTGTTTATCTGTAAAGAAAGTACAGTGACAGCATGCTGTCTAGATGAGCAGCATTTTGATCTTTTAGTAAGCTTTTCTAGTTATACAATTGGGCAATATTTCACTCCCCTCCTGCACTCTGAATTTTACCTGTGATGCCCTTGTCTATACACGTCTTTCATGACTCTGGCAGAAATGACTGCCACAGACATTTCAAAGCACCACCAGTCATTTCACAACGTGGTAGAATACACAGCATATTGCAACTACAAAATACATTTTAATCTTTCCAAAACCTGTTTCTTTTGATGACCCATAAAAGGGAGAAGTTCAAAACACCATTTCTCTGCTTATCTTCCCTGCCTAGGCTCTGACATTACAAGATGAGAAATGTTAGGAGTCTGAATGAACTGACCACCTGCAATAACCAAATTTCTTTCTATTATTTGAACAGCAAATATGCACAGGAAATGCAATAACCTTCTATATATGTCAAAAGGGCAGAGGAATTCTTAAATTCAGTGGTCTATTTGTATAATTGCCAAAAGGCTCTTCAATGCAGGCCAGAAATTTAATACAAGTGGGCAATGTTCTTTTCAAGCTGGAATAACACTGGTTTCCATTTAGAAAAGCAATGCAAAAACCTAATGCAGCACAAAAAGCATTGCATGAAAGCAATTTTTGATACCACTCACTTTTGCAATTTCCCAACTGCAAATTTCCTTCCTATTTCTTCCCATCTCAAGTCAGAGCAGCAATCTTTGCTTTCTTAAATCATCAAAATGACTTAATACAGGCATTTTACATCCACCACAGCAATGATTAATGGAAATAGATTTATCCTCTATGCTTAATGTTAAACAGCTGAGGTCAGGTTATATGCTAATTTAAACTTCAGATAATCCTCCTGGCATCAGTGGGATCATGTATAGCACAAACCATTGCTCCAGTTGTATTTCTGTTCCCTGAAGCCCTCCCCTGCATCTTAAACATCTTTGGTGGGGTTCTAGTCGGTACAGAGCAATGAGAGTCATTCACAGCAGATGGTATTTTGTGCTGCTGCTTGCAGATGGCTGTACTGGGATTTGCCACTCACAATAAAAACCAACAAAATCAAAACTGGCCTAAAACCAGACCAAAAAAGCAGGACAATAAAAAAACCCCAACACATCTTTTTGTGGAGCAGAAGAAGTGAAGCAAACTTTTCCAGCTAGGTAAAAGCAACTATTAAATCCTCTAGTGTCTAATGAGGTATCAGTTCCAGCTGGAATTTATCCTGCAGGTGTGCATTTTATAACAGCTCTTCTTTCAGAAGACCACAAGTGCTTGATAAGACAAAAAAGATTGCATAGCATTCACCCTTTAAAAGCCTCTGAATTGTGTATTTTCTTACCAAACTACCTATTTTAAAGAATATTGTAGTAGCATTTTTCCAGAGCTGGTTATAAAAGTACTGAAAGAGGCAAAATCAGATAGAAACACACCAAACAGGGCTCTGGGTGCCTCAGCTCCTTTGGAAAAGAAGCAAACAAGAGGGAGGGTTGTCATCTTATTGCAAAAGTCCCATATCTTCAAGGTGATTTCCCACAGGCATCTCCTCACAGCACTGACTCCTTATCAGCACAGCCAACAAAGCCCATCTCTCCTCACAGCAAACAAACTAACCCCATTCTCAGCCAGCTAGCCCACTCTTTGTAGCACTCTTCTTATTATTGGACACAGCTGTGGCCTATTAGGGCAGGGCTGGTCCTAATCGTTGGTGATTAGTACAGCTGCAGCTCCTCAGGTGTGAGATTACCTTCTGTACTATCTTTATTTTCTTATATTCTATCCTTTCACAAGGGAACATTAGAATAGTATTACCATCTGCATTTGGAGTCTTCAGACAATGAAATTAAGCCTACTTAAAACTTACAAGCTCTGAAATCCCTCTCTGGGAGGGTACACCACTCTCCACTGGCTCTAGAGACCCAACTTCCTTTCTAAGACATCTGAACTGAATGCTGAAAATGAATCTCTCAAGTTGCCAATTTTGAAAACCAAAAGCTCTGTGGATCCCCCAAAACATTCCCTCAATGAAGCCAGAGAGTTTCCTTGGTCAAATTGGAATAACCCCTGGATGTGAGACAGTCTGTGAGCAGCCCCTCCATGAGCTGAAGCTCATTCCTAAGGACTTCCAGGAAGAGAAGCAACCACATTGTTTATACTGAAACACAGCTGGCAAAATTGCAAAGATTCAGATCTTTTGTGATATAAATGTGGCGCATCCTCTGGGATATTTGTGAATATTGAGATGCGTTGTGAGGTGAGCACTGTTTCAGCAAGAGAAAGATGCTGCATTTGGCTAAAAAGCCTGCTTCACCTATCAGCTCAGTGTTGCAAAACTGCAACATATTTACAGAAAAAACCTTCACCACTACAGCACCTGTTGCCACTGAAAGGCCATCTGGGATCACTTCTATTTTATTTCTGTTAAAGCTCCATCCCAAGCTCAGCTGCAGCCACTGGGGTTCTGTTCTGACATCTGTAGGATAACTGGTAGGCAAGGACTGTGTGCGCTCCCTGAAATGTCTCAGTGATCTTGTAAAACAACTGAGCACAACTAAAGAAGTATCAAGAGATGCAGAGTTAGAATTAGTGAAAGAAAATAGAGTTTTATTACTTATATTCTAGCAGCACACAGGAGCCACAAGTGGGATCTGAGTATCAGTGTGCCAGCCAACATATAAATACACAGTGGAAGCCAATTCCAGCTCTGAAGAGATTACAGCCTTCAGAAGCAAGAGAGGTGGGGGGTGAGAAAAGAAACAGAGAGAATTAATAAAAACACATCAAAACCAATCACAGAGCTAGGAGTAAAAGTGTCTCTTTCCAGGCTCTGAAGCCTCCCCTCTGTCCAGTCTGTCATGCTGCCTGCTAATCACAAGTTTGACATCTTTAATACGTTCACTTTCTGCAAGATCTCTGTGAGCCAAGCTGTGGGGAGCTCCAAGCAGAAAGCAGGTTGAATCCCATCCCCAGAAACAAAAATGATCAGTTTATTCTGCTATAAATCTTCATGAATCTACACTAGGTTATTGCTCCTTTGTCCTTTATTTCTCTTTTACCATCTTTTTTTTTTTTTTTCCTAAGTAGGTCACCTCATCTCCTGAAGTATGAAGCCGTAAGACTATGAAAACATAAAGGAGATTTATTTCTCTTTGTGTGCATGATCTTCTCTGCTGAAAGAAGTATGGGAATGACTACAAGGTTCATCATCGACTTCCAAGAATAGACAAATGCCTTTGTTAGGCTTCTGTGGCATGTCTCAAACACAGGCAGCATGAAACCCTCAGTGGAGGCAGAAGAACTCTTGCCATTGAGTTGTTCTCTAAAACATTTGAGCGCAGTCCAAGGGTGACAAAAGGTCAGAAAATAATTTCATTTGAGAGTTTTAATTTGTTAGACGTAAAATAAGGCAATTTATGTGTTTTTTTTTTTTTTACCTCCCTGTGTCAGACCTCTCTGTTCCTAGATACACATTTATATTAAATTTATGATTTACAAGCATCATGATAGACTGCCCTTTGCTAGCCTCTTAGAGGGCTCTCAGTCACAATGATTCACATATGATCCTTAATTACATTTTAATAAGTTGATCTTGAGAAAATAAAATCTCTAACAACTTAAACCCTGGACTGTCTAATACGTGAGGTTTTCATAGAATAAAACCAAGCACTTCTTTTTTCCGTCAGTATTCTTATTTTGCGTCTTTTTAAACTGATTTCTGTTTGTACTGATTCTAGAGGTCTCAGTTCACACCACCAAAAAATGATGTTATCAACAACAGATGCTTGTTCTTGGGAAACACCTCCACATGAAACAAGGCAAGATTGAAGAAACCCACAGAGTGGAGCAGAGCCTGCATTCAGGCTGTCTGTAGTGAAGGAAAGGCTTATGGCTATTTTATTAAGAGGTGGATGGCAATGCTATAATTCCAGAGCCATTTATGACTGTAGCAGACAGCACACACAAGCTTCCATGTGCACATTAACACAGAGTGTTCACCAGAGTCATGAAGGACCTTGATTCACCAGTGGACATTTAAACAGAAACACTGAAATGCTGACATTCCAATATTATGGAAATGCTGAAATTCCACTCGTATGGAAGATGCTTCTCACAATAGATTAATATATCCTTAAAAAATTAATTATGTGACCCCATATTCCAAGCTTCTCAGCAACAGGCAGATCCTTTCTGTAATATAAGCAGAAAAATTATGAATAGGAAAATCTCTTTAGAAGATTAAAACAGAAAAGGGCGCACTAAGAACCTCTGATTTTTAAGGAGTTCTTATCTCAATTTTTCACTTATTTTAGATGCCTACTAGCTTCCCTCAGGGCCAACACCTGTTAAGATCCAATACGTTTCTTAGGAACTCACCACAAGTCCATGGGCCTGCCATTACCTGAAATACCATCTGCATTCCTCTGCATCTACCCACTCCCTTCATGTGGGTACATTTTTTAACTAAAAGCAGCCCTTCTTTCCTTTATCAATGGTCATTCCCTACTTTTGACAAAGCAGAGAACTCAATGTTCAAAGCAAGAAAGCTGCTGTGTGCAAATAAATCAATGAAGTTCACAAGAGGAATTAGGTATCCAGCTATGCTGATATCTGATTCCAATGGAATCAAAGGCAGCTATACTAATGCAGTGTCTGCTGACTTAGAGCTTTCATTGTATTCACAGGGAAATTTAAGCACTTCAAAAAACTTGTTAATAATGCCAGATGACACAGTTATGCAATTTTCTGGTCCACTTGTTTTGCAGTTTACAACCACTCACAAGCAGATTTCCCACACTCCAAAAACTTTGATGAAAAACACTATTTACACATAGCTGATAACATACATAATAGCTGATAACACAGTGCTGATACCAGAAACTCTTCTCAATCCCTACTTCAGCTGTATCCAGGGCTGGAATAGAGATCTCTTCTGAGGATTAGGAGGGAAGTGTGTGTGAGAGCTCCTAAAGCCCCTGGTGACTGTCAGTTCCTCACATGTGCAGAGTCTTTGCAGCAACGATGTTTGAAAAACCAGAGTTTTCACACCACTTAGATTTTACAACTTGCTCCAGGAAAACTGTGAGCAGAATCACTAAGAAAGGAAACACCAAGCAACTACTAAATTCTGAGACTTCTTTTGACCTGCAGGAGCAGAGTTTGGTATCTCTCCATCCATTAGCATTACTGGCCAAGGCTGCTCAATAAAGGCTTTATGTGAAAGCGTAACAAGCACAGCAGGCATAATTCTTCGTGTTCCTGTGGACAATGGCTAAATCAATACTGAACACCAGCCTCAGAGTTTTCAGATAGCAACACTGTAAGTCTTCCTTCTTCATATAACTTCACTAACAGCATGCAGTAAACCATTCAGCAGGCAAGGAAAAAATCCTGCATTTCAACACAACAGCATCAATTTTCCCCTTCTAGATTGTCCTCTGCTGTGGCAACAGGACAGATAGGGCAGTGTGAATTGTGCTACTGGACATGAATTCACTTCTCTGGATTTGCTCCTGCACAATGGAAGTTCTCCTTTGTGATATTTAGATGAACACCACTATTACCTCCAATGCATTGCCCATTTTCAACCTGCATCCTCAATTATGTCTGCAAGGTCACACAAATAAAACCCAGCAGTGACAGAAAAGGATCTCAAGCCAACACTCTGTCTGACTTTCTTTAGAAACAAAGCAAGGAGCCCACAGTTAACTCATTGCTCCTTAATCATCGAGCTCTGGGCCATGCTGTACCCTGACTGTACCAGCTGAGCTTTATTTCACACCTTTAACCTCCTACAATTTAAATATTTATAGCTAAGCTCATTACATAAGCTCCATTTATAAGTAATATCCACTGTAGGTCAGGAGTCATTTGATCTATTTCAGCACCTATTTCACAGAGATGAGTTCTGTGCAGGCCCTGCTAAGAGCACTCACTGGATCTCCACAGACTTCAGCAGGAAAATGGGATGACCAGCTGAGATGCAGAATATCCACCCATCTCGTGTATTTGATCTATTTCAGCACCTATTTCACAGAGATGAGTTCTGTGCAGGCCTTGCTAAGAACACTCACTGGATCCCCACAGATTTCAGCATGAAAATGGGACGACCAGCTGAGATGCAAAATATCCACCCGTCTCGTGTCTACATTCCATCAGGAATCCTGAATCAGCCCTGCCCTGTGTGTGTCAGTCTCTTAAGTGGGCTGGAACATAGATCTCACATAAAAGTATCATAAATAAAAACCCTTAAAGTCTGTTCCATGTGGCTACTGAGGCAGCATGGCCAGAGAAGGACAAGGCAGAGCTGAGACTGAGTGGTCCTCAATAACCACATATTCTGACGTCTTCTTGGGCAGAATTTACCTCAGTAAAAGGAGATTTCCAAACTTAAGACACAGCAAAAAATAACAAGGGAGATGCTTGGGGTCTGATCCAAATTGAATGTATCCAGTACTCTCTGTGAAACATTTCTATGTTTATTAAATAATTTTCAAGTATGCCAAAATCGAAATAAACCAAGTTTGGTTTCTTAATTGCATGTGTAATCACTTCTGTAGTATTTATGTAAATGCAATAAATAAAGGCACTGAAAACACATAAGAATAAGAACAAAATATACATTTTAAATGTCTGCAAAACTTCAAGCTACCTAGGATATCTGGCCTCAATTCCTTATCTGACTTGAGAGCACAAATGCCTTTGATTTTCAACCATTAACTCTTTTGTGACACTGGGATGTGCAGGCCAATTTACTTGAGGGTTGTGAAAACTGCAAAGATCCCAAAAGAATAGTCTGACTTTACCTCTGTGTGAAATCACTCATCAGGGAATGCAAAAGGAAAACCAAACAGAGCCAGCCCCAGCCACAAAGGTGATGGAGAGGACAGGGTAATACCACAATCAACTCCTTTCACAGGAAGAGAACTGTTTTCTTGTTAAATCCTCTTTCATAGAGGATTAAGCTACTATGGAAAAAAAATAAAAAAGAAGAACAGTGTCTGCATAACAATTCCAAAACTGCACCATCTGTAGACAAGCATCAGAGTACTTAAAATCCCACTGGCAGACCACTGAAAAACCAGTTTGGCACTGTCTGCTATACTCAGAATCAAGTGTAAGGAGAAGCCAAGATTAAATCTATAGAGATACTCAGATGTGGAATATCTCTTCTGTCAGATGTGGGTATTTCTGCCTGCATCACAGGCCAGAGAAAGAGAAGAGCCATGCAGACAGGCTGCAGCTGGAGAGCACAATCCTGTGGGGTCACAGCACAGGGGGAAGCCACGTGTGCTTCAAATGTGAGATGCTCAAACCAAGGGACTCGAGAGTGTGAGGCGGAAGCCAAATGTGTGATCTTATACTTCATGCATGAGACTCATCAGGCCTGCCTACAGCCTCAGAAAAACACTCACAAGCCAATTTCAGCCAGCTGGTTTGTATTTTCATTGCATTTCCTAGGGGCAGAAAACAGAGTCTGCCCACAAACTGCATTCGTATTCTCCTCGTGTAAATTTTACTTTTTAGCACAGCTATGATGGGTTTAATTTCACCTTGATTTCTTTGGAGGGTAAAAGCATTACAGAAAAAATAAATTTCTTCTGCTTTGCCTTCAGCCAGAGAATGACAGCAGCATTCTCCCTGCGAAGGAACTGGTAATGCTGCAGTGATTTTTATCACTAGCACTTGTATCTCCTGGATATTAATAGATGTTTGGAAAATGCTGTAGTATCTCTTTATTTATAAAATATAACTGGGTATAATTCTGCAAACTGATTAATTCCTCTGTATCAGGAGGTGAGCAGACTGCTTGCTTTAACTCTGCAGTTTACATTAATGGACTACTAAGGTCTGGCTTGGAAAGGGGATCATAATATCCCATATTATGCAATCACCATCTACTCTTGACATGTCAAGGGCACAACTGCAGTCCCCCCACCTGCCGCCAAGTCAACAAATGTGGGTGCACCACCTGTAAATGCCTCCAGATCATTACAATGAGCAGGTGGGTCTGATTTTGGAAAAAGCTCACCAAGACATTAGTCAACATCAGGGTATCATAATACAGACAGATTTTAAGCTGTAGAAATGAAAAAAAAAGTAATACAATAAGGACAAGAAATTGCATTTCAACAATAATGAGGTACAAAAATAAGGATTGAGGAATTTACAGATATGTGGAAGTTCTGAGGAAAAGAACTTTCTACTAAAACAGTTCTTAAACTTGATATGGGACAATAACACAACACTTATGGAAAGTGCAAATACTATGATGGAGTCAGTGGAAGACAAAAGAGTTTTAAATACACTTCCAGTAAGATTTTTACAAAATTTAACTTTTAGGGTTCTGAGCCCATTTTGAGACACAAAATGCTGATCAGTTTGAAGAAAGAATGGAGAAAAACAAGGAGGAACATGCCAAAAAAAAAAAAAAAAAAGTAACTGAGGGGGTAAGATAAAACCCCAACAACTTTTAATAGCTGGTTATAAGGGAAGAGGCAAAAATTGCTTTGTCTGTGGTGGACAGAACAGACAGTACAGGAAGATAAGAGAGGGAAAAGATTTCTAAGGATGCTGCAGTATCACCCAGGAAGAGTGAGAAACCTACCCTATTAGAATTTTTGAAACATTGAAAAGGCACCTCCCAAAGGTGACTAAGGCAGAATGATCCTGGATTGCA